GGAGTATGATCTTCTCACAGCATCAACATTTGCCAATGGATTTCTGGGCGACGAGCTCTCTTCAACGACGAGGTGAGCACGTCGCTGAATAAATTGTGTAGGCGCTCATAATGTCGAAGGAGCAGGCCAGGTTCGCACTTGCGCAGTGGAAGAGGAACGATGGCATATAATAGTGAGGAATGGAGGGCGGAACATGAAAACGAGTCATCAAGGAGCGTCTGAATGAGCACGTGCATCTGAAGAAGTAGCCTGCTGCGCGAATAACAGGACGAGCTTCGCGATGAAAAGTCATGCGGATGGGTTTTCGGTGTTCGCAACCTGTCATGGCGCGGGTCATAAACAGGGCCCGCGGACCAGATTGTCAAGTATCGCCACTCGTCTATGAAAGTCGTAGTTCGTCGTTTGTGAAAACGAGATCCCCTGCCCAATCTGCTCAACAGCGATGGCTCCCACGGAGCAGACAACTGGCCGGGCGGCCGTGGACAAATCTGCTCGGCGCAGCAGCGGGCGAGTCGCAGTGGCGCCGGCGTTTGCATCGATTCGCCTATGGATCGGGCGCCTGAGACAATAGGCTCCGAAGTGTGCGAAACATGGAAACCCAAGATGTCTGGCGCGATGCCGTCGGCGACCGCATCCAAAACAGCGTTGCACACAGCATCGGCATCAACGTTGAATTCACGGTAGACGTGGATGAACTCGCGCGCGCGCGACTGGCAAGCGGCGCGATTCTCGCAATTCCCGACAAGCAGTCTCGAAGAGAGGTCGCAGCGAAGGCGCTCGTCAGTGTCGCGGGCGCTGTCGAGCGCCCGCGGCGCTGACGAGCAAGCAATTGACCTGGCGAGCATGCAACAACGAGCCAACGTGAAGACGTATTTGCTCGGCCGGGCGCAGAACAGGATGCTGAAGATGTCCCAACAAGTCCATGTATTTCGCAGTACTTGTTCGTGGCATGGCCAAGATGCCCACATCGGGGGGCCGCGTCTTGTCGGCGGCCTTCGGCGTGACGAACACAGCCACCCGGAGATGAGCTCACCTCTGCTGTGCCCTGACGCTGGCTCGCTCCTCCGACGCGTGGACAACCCGCCCGTCATCTTAAACGGGAGGTCTCGCACGGAGGGCACGCCTCTCGGCGCGCGTAGCTCCACTCAGCTGGGGACCCCGTCATCCACGGTTTTTCGCTCAGGCGTCGAGCGTGGCGTATCACATTTTCAAGGTCGCGAACAGCAGCGCCGGGTGGGGCAGGAGCCTGCGAAGTCGCACCAACGCGCTCGCGTGCGCAAGGGCGCTCTGCAGCTCCCCGCCGCGCAGCTCCCCTCCGCTGGCAAAGTCCTCCTGTAGCCATAGCTTGCCAAAGGTCAGTTGCGCGCGCTCTGGGGGGGGGGGGGGCTCTGCGAACAGAGAATACAAAACCGCACTCATCCCAATGGCCTGCACAACCGCCGCGTGCAAGTCAGCAGAAGGCTCGGTTGTAGTGGCTGGCCCAACACCAGCGCAAGCCGGCGCGAGGTCAGTTCGCAGTTCAACAGCCGCCGTATGAGCGAGGCACGATGTTCTGCATACGCCGAAGAGGGGAGGCGACGCACATTTCGCTCAACCGGTGCCCAAGGGAGCCCCCGAGCTTGCAGTCTCCCAGAAACGACGCCCTTGACACACATGAGTCAACGAAGCTTCCGCGTGACAGAAAACGCGAGAATGGGCGCCCACCGATCTCTTTCGAAGAAGGACAAAGCTAGCTCGCGAATTTCATTCAGGATTTGCTGCGGCACCTGACAGAAATCCATGACCTCAGACAAAAGAGACACACCAAACACGTTCCATGCCAGATGCCTCGTTGAGACGCTTATGCGGCCGTCTTGGAGCATGGGCCCGCTTCAGGGGCATTCAGCCCGAACCACAATCCCCAGGACTTCTGCCGCGTCACGATATTCGGCTCGTGTTATCTTGCTGCAATCAATTGATCCTCCGAGGCCGTCAGCGTGCGACTGGGCATCCACGCTGTCGTTTGTCGATGGAGGACCTGGCTAGATGCACGTTCAAATGAGCCATCCAGAGCGTTAGCAGCATCAGAGAAATGCTTCCAAACGTCGCAGACCACGTGTGAAGGACGCCACGTGTCGCGGCTGCTTTTGCAAGGAATGGGGCGGGTGCAATCATACAGGGGAACGCAGATAACGGGTGTCCCTTTCAGTGTCCACTAAGGAAGCAGCAGGGTGGAAACGCGTCGCCAGACCATGTTGCAAACGCGCGGCGCGCGTGCATGAGCTAGTGGATGCCAGGGAAAAGCTGTACTGGGAGGCTTGCGTGAACCGAAGTAGCGTTGACCCAGTTCCAGGATAGCAGATCGAGCTTTCCCGAGCAATCGGGAAACAGGAAACCTTTTTTGACGATGTTGCGCTCGATTCGCCCTCCCGCCAAAAAAAGGTTTGCTGTCTCCGCCGGAGCTGCACAGCTGCAGCCTTGTCAATGTTCTGGCGCAGCATGCGGCCAAAAAATTCGGCATGTTCAATCGGGGATCCGAGGTCACACAGCGCCGCTGTTGTATCAGCGCCCTCTTTCTTGGGAGTTGCATGCCACAGAAATTCAGTCATGTGATACGGGGCGTTGCGTGCTCCACGTGGGGGGTCATGGAAAGCGTCTACTAGAACAGTGCTCAACACACAAGCATGCATTTTGTAGAACTCGCCCCTCGCACCCGAGGTCCCTGGGACTTCGTGTTCAGGCAATGCCAAGTGGATGTCAAGGACCTCGCTTCAAACAGAGCAAGCCTAGCCTCGCTCAAATCCAGGTCCCATCCGTGGAGCATTGGCGAGAAGAGCTCGATTTCATCGCGTGAACACCCTTAATGTTCACGAGCATGCTTTCAAACATTGGCCAATTTCAGAGCTCGACGTGACATGATGGCCCGCATTGTTATCACAAGGCTCGGTGACATGATACCAGTCGCGCATTCGGAGGGCCGTTAGCTTTCAACTACCCCTGGGAGCGCCTTGGCTCCAGCGAGTGTTTTGCCAGCGCAGACGCCGCCGCCAACTGCTGCTGTCAGCTCGCCGCCGGACCCGTGGCGGAATTATTTATCTGAGGCTTTCTCTCGCAACGCATTACCGCGGAGCAGGTGCATTTCAGATGATAACTCATTTGCTCCTCACAAGATGACGCAGGAACTGGCATATTCAAACTCCGTTTCAACCAGAGGCGCAAGGAAAGAGTAAGTTTCCAATCGCTTGGAGAGGAGTTGGTTTCACGCGCCTCTCTTCCCGAGCGGCCGTGTCAGCGGTAAGCGTGACATCGAGCATGTGAGTCGCAAGTTTTGCAGCGCCTGGCACCTCCTGTATGATGAAAGATTTCGCGCGAGCTCCATCAATGTCTTTGGATTCGCAAAGTGCGTTCAATCTTGTGGCCCTCTGGGGCAGCCACGAGTGCAAGCCTTCAGCAATCATGTTTCATTTAAAAAAAAAAAAAAAAAAAAACTGGCCAAGCTAGCTTGACTTTGCACACCTCTGCCTGCGGTGAGATCCTCTTGCGACGCCGAGGCCGCTTACGAAAGGGAACGCCCACAGGCAAGTGATCGGATGCGCTCGGCGGGAATGGCACTCCCCTCACAACGCGGACATAGTGTCGCATGTTTGCTTGCCGTACATCATCACAACCAATTCTGGCGAAGTCAAGTGTTTCATTCATGTACCAGAGAGCACCCGCGAATGTTACGCCAGTCCATCTGAAAGTATGCTCCTCTACCCCACCTTGGTGGGGGGCCCAGAAAGGGCGGGGATATTTCCCAACCCCTCAAGCAGGCGTCGTCCTGGGCGCCAGAAGGCAGCGGAGGAGGACGACCGCTGCTCCTCCTGAGCGACAACATGCCGAACATGCGATCAGCCCGAGCGGATGAGGAGGCGGATTGCGATGATGATGATGATGATGATGATGATGATGATGATGAGACTGATACTGACTGATACTGATGATGCTGATGCTGATGCTGATTATGTTGATGATGGCGATGATGCTGATGATGAGGAGGCGGAGAAGGACGGTGGTGATGGTGATATTTCTGGTGATGATGGAGGCGACGATGATGTTGATGAAGATGTTGATGGGGAAGATGATGGTGACAATATTCATGTTGGTGATGATGCTGATGCTGATGCTGATCATGATTGTGATGACGATGAATATGATGACAATGATGATGCTGATGATGATGATTATGATGATGATGATGATGGTGATGATGATGATGATGATGACGGTGATGGTGACGCTGTTGATGATGATGATGCGTATCATGATCATGAACATGATGACGACGATGATGCTGATGATTATGATGATGATGATGATGATGATGATGATGATGGTGATGATGATGATGATGATGATGATGATGATGATGATGATGATAAGGAGGAGGAGGAGGAGGAGGAGGAGGAGGAGGAGGAGGAGGAGGAGGAGGGTGAGGATGAGGATGAGGAGGAGAGATGAGGATGATGATGTTGATGATGATGAGGATAATGAGAGGGAGCAGGAGGAGACGGAGGAGGAGAGGGAGCAGGATGAGACGGAGCAGCAGGAGGGAGGAGGAGGAGGAGGAGAGAGGAGGAGGAGGAGGAGAGGAGGAGGAGGAGGAGGAGGAGGGGAGGAGGCGGAGGAGGGGAGGAGGAGGAGGAGGAGGAGGAGGAGGGAGAGAGGAGGAGGAGGAGGAGGAGGAGGAGGAGGAGGAGCGAGAGGAAGAGGGTGGTGCAGCAGACACACTGCAGCATGGCATCCCCAGCCTGCTAGCAGGCGCCCCGCAGAGATGCCGCATCCCCAGCGGCCCCGAGGAGCCACAGGGGCCCTCGGGTCGAGCCCCACTGCCGCTGAAGGCCTCCGCGGGCCGCCGAGGGCCTCCGCGGGCCTTCGCTGGCCGCCGAGGGCTACCGACGGGCCACCGCCGGGGCCCCCGGAGGGCGGCCCCCAGGCTCCGAGGGCCCCCCCCCGCAGATGCGTCGCGACCCCCCTGCGAGGCGCCAGCCGGGCACGGGCACGGCCCCTCCCTGGCCGCGGGCCTGAGGGAGCTGGAGAGCTGGGCGAGCCAGCTGAGGACACCGGGCCTCACCACCAGCCAAGCCGCCTCAACCTAACCTTGTGGAGGAGGGTCAATGGAGAGAAAGCGTGTTGCCAAATAGTTTCCAGATGTCTGAAATATGTCTGAAACATGTTTGAGACATTTTCAAACATGTTTTTTCCCTACCTAGGCTCTGCCTAGCAGGGTTCTTACTCTCTAGCTTAAAGGGGCCGGGTAGTGCTACACGCCCCGGGCGGTTCCCCCAGTCCCCGCCCCGCGGTTCCCCCAGTCGCGCCCCCTTAGCTTGGCTTAGCTTATCTCGTCTTAGCTTAGCTTGGCTCAGCTTAGCTTGGCTTAGCTTAGCTTAGCTTGGCGTACCTTAGCTTAGCTTAGCTTAGCTTAGCTTAGCTTCAGCTTAGTGTTAGCTTAGCTTAGCGTAGCATAGCATAGCATGGCATAGCATATCACAACATATCATACCATAACACAGTATTGCATAGCTTAGCATAGCTTAGCATAGCGCCCCCTTAGCTTGGCTTAGCTTATATCGTCGTAGCTTAGCTTGGCTTAGCTTAGCTCGGCTTAGCCTAGCTTAGCTTAGCTTGGCTTACCTTAGCTTAGCTTAGCTGAGTTTAGCTTAGCCTGATGTAGCTTAGCCTAGCGTAGCATAGCATAGCATGGCCTAGCATAGCACAGCATATCATACCATAACACAGTATTGCATATCATAGCTTCGCATAGCTTAGCATAGCATATATTATGTAGCTTTAGCTTAGCTTTAGCTTAGCTCTAGCTGAGCGTTATCTTAACTGTAGCTTAGCTTTAGCTTAGCTTTACCTTCGCTTTAGCTTAGATTTAGCGAAGCTTTAGCTTAGCTGTACCTTAGCCTTAGCTTAGCTACATCTTATATATAGTTTAGCTTTAGCTTAACGTTCGTTTAGCTTTCGTTTTGCTTTATCTTAGCTGCAGCTTAGCTTTAGCTTAGATGTAGCTTAGTTTGTGTTTAGATTTACCTTCGTTTTAGCTTAGCTGTACCTTAGATTTATCGTAGATTTAGCGTAGTTTTAGCTTAGCTTTAGCTTAGCGCTAGCTTATCTTTAGCTTAGCTTTAGCTTAGCTTCAGCTTAGCTTTAGCTAAGTTTTAGCTTAGCTGTAACTTAGCTTCAGCTTAGCTTTAGTTTAGCTCGAGCTTAACTTTAGTGTTACTACCAATGCTGCTTCCATGGGGGCTCCAACTCCTAGGTAGGGTCGCACTGGGATAATTACATATTTAAACACATTTTTCCCTACCTAGGCTCTGCCTAGAAGGGTTCTTACTCTCTAGCTTAAAGGGGCCGGGCAGTGCTACACGCCCCGGGCGGTTCCCCCAGTCCCCGCCCCGCGGTTCCCCCAGTCCCCTGGGAGCTTTAGCCTTAGCTTTAGCTTTAGCTTAGCTTTATCTTTAGCTCTAGCTTTAGCTTAGCTTTGGCTCAGCTTTAGCTTAGTGTTAGCTTATCTTTAGCTTAGCTTTAGCTTAGCTTTAGCTTAGCTTCAGCTTAGTGTTAGCTTAGCTTTAGCGTAGCTTTAGCTTAGCCTTAGTTTAGCTTTCGCTTAGCTTTAGCTTAGATTTAGTTTAGCTTTAGCTTAGCTTTAGCTTAGCTTAGCTTTAGCTTAGCTTTAGCTTAGCTTGAGCTTAGCTTCAGCTTAGATTTAGTTAAATGTTAGCTTAGCGTCAAGTTAGCTTCAGCTTAGCTTTAGTTTAGCTTGAGCTTAGCTTTAGCTCAGCTTTAGCTTAGTGTTAGCTTAGCTTTAGCATAGTGTTAGCTTAGCTTTGGCTTAGCTTTAGCTTAGCTTTAGCTTAGCTTTAGCTTAGCTTTAGCTTAGCTTCAGCTTAGTGTTAGCTTAGCTTTAGCTTAGTGTTAGCTCAGCTTTAGCTTAGCTTTAGCTTAGCTTTAGCTTTTATTTAGCTTAGCTTTAGCTTAGCGTTAGCTTAGCTTTAGCTTAACTTTAGCTTAGCTTCAGCTTAGCTTTAGCTTAGCTTCAGCTTAGCTTTAGCTTAGCTTCAGCCTGGCTTTAGCTTAGCCTTAGCTTAGCTTTAGCTTAGCTTTCGCTTAGCTTTAGCTTAGCGTTAGCTTAGCTTTAGCTTAGCTTTAGCTTGGCTTTAGCTTAGATTTAACTTAGCTCTAGCTTATATTTAGCTTTAGCTTTAGCTTAGCTTTAGCTTAGCTTTAGCTTAGCTTTAGCTTAGCTTTAGCTTACCTTTAGCTTAGCGTTAGCTTAGTTTTAGCTTAGCCTCAGCTCAGCTTTCGCTTAATTTTAGCTTAGTGTTGGCTTAACCCTAGCTTAGCTTTAGTTTAGCTTTAGCTTAGCTTCAGCTTAGCTTTAGCTCAGCTTTCGCTTAGCTTTAGCTTAGCTTTAGCTTAGCTTTACTGTTACTACTAATGCTGCTTTCCTAGGGGCTCCAACTCCTAGGTAGGGTCGCACTGGGATAATTAGTTAAACGATCGGGTTGTTAGAGTGTCCATTCTCATGGCATCCACAAACCTAACCCGAAGGCCCCAAGTTGCCATCCTTTCCCAGGGGGCGGGGGCCGGGGAACATTCACAAAACACATGTGGAATTTGTACCCTCCCCAACCCAGAATGTGGATCTTCGAGTTGGGTTGGGTTGGTCTGGTAGGTAGTCGAAAGCCCTTCGCCTCCCGATTTCCAGGCCGCCCAGATGCGACCGAAGCAGACGGGGGTCTGAGGACCGCGCAGCCTCGCCGATGCTTCGGCGATGCAGCCGGGTGTGGAGCATCGATGTTCTCCACGCCGATGTCGCCGATGCATCGCCAGTCGCATGGCATCGGGTTGCTGTCGGGGAAACGTAAGACTCGAGCGATTTCCCAGAGCTCGGATTGTCCAACGTTTTTTGACGAGTGCGTCATGGATTTTGACGGTCCAGTTTTCGTAGGAGGCTTGCAGCGGGAGCTCGCGTCAAATTTCATATTGGGTCTCGTCATTTTCGTGATTGCCCCGTCAGGCCAACCCGAGTCGCCAAAACCCGATTCTAAGGTTTCCCAGAATGTTCTCCACGCCGACGTCGCCGATGCATCGGCAGTCGCATGTCATCTGGCTCCCTTGAACGGCTCTGACCTGCGCCCCCTCCCTCCCTATCCTGGCCGCTTCTTCCATCCTCTCTCCCTTCCCCTCCATCCTCTCCCCCATCTCGTGATCTCGCTCCCTCCCTCCTTGGTGTTTCCTTAACTCCCTTCCTCCCTGTCGTCTATCTCTTCCTCTCGGAGCTGCATAGCAAGGAGGCAGTGCCAGGCAGCCGTGCTCCCAGAGTGTTGATTGCCGCAAGACCGCGGCCGCAGCAACAGCGTAAGCGGCAGCAGCGACAGCCGCGGAATCACAGCGGAACCGATGAGGAATCGGATGATGTGTGAGATGACGGGGCGCAAGCAAGTCAGCAAGAGGAGAATGAAGATCTGGGTAACTTTGAGCAGTAGCAATAGCAGTGGAAGCTGGAGGTGGACCGTGGCCCAGGACCTTGGACGGCGCGCTAGCGAATCGCGAGCTGAACGGCATTTCGCCTCTGGGCTCTGCAGTGTCTCGCTCACGCTAGGCGCTCTGAAGGGCCTGCATGTAGGCAGGCAGTTGACACCTCCCTTCCCTAAGTTGGATAATAATGAAAACGGTGGACGAGGAGGAGGAGGAGGAGGAGGAGGAGGAGGCGAAGGAGGAGGAGGAGGAGGAGGAGGAGGAGAAGGAGGAGTAGCGCGCATCATGAGTCGAAGCACGACGGGTGCCCAAATCTGAATGCACAGATTTTAGTAGGAAGTGCGCACAAGCAGCATGGCGGGCATACTTTGGGCGATTTGGGTAAAGGCAGTCGCCGCTGAACATGGCCCGTGAGCACCACTCTCAGGCGCAGTGTATGGCCGACCTGGGCGTTGCCAGCGGTCAGCCGCGACGCAGCCATGGTTGGACCCCGAAGGCCCCTGGACACACACCAGCTTGGGGGGATGTTTGTTTTTTCCGATGCTTCGGGGGCTCATCGGAGGTATCAGGTATTAGCTCAGTCAGTGCCAATCGTGTTCGGTCTGGATGGAAGGGTGCAAGCATGTTGTCCAAGCGGCGTGGCACTTGTACTACATCTGTTTTTGGTGACGTGGGCTCCATCAGCTCTCGAAGCCCTCATTCGGCTTGGCTATAAGTTTTCAATTGTGCGTGGGCTCGAAAGCTGCTTCTGGGCTCTGAAGATCGTTCTTTGGGCTGCCTGCGAAGATATTGGTCCTCCTCTTCTTACCTTCGTTGTGCGTGCGCAACGACCCACCAGCCATTCGGCGGCTGCTCGGTCGCCGAGAGGGCGATGGCGAGCCCTCGCGCTGGCGAAAAGGCAGTCGGCCGCAGCCAGAGGGCGCGGAGATGGCGGTGAGGACGGCGGAGGAGAAGGAGGAGGAGGAGAAGGACGACGACGATCGATGGCATTACGCTGTCTGCTACCATGAGCAAGCCAACACTTATAGTTACCACTTCCCCAACGACCACCTCCTCCCGCAAGGCTGGCACAGGTATCTAGACAAGTGCAACAACGAGCTCTTCACCCGCAAAGATCTACAGCAAGACCTACCGCATCCCCCGCTACGGCCCGACCCGCAAGCAACCCCACTCTCGACATTCAAACTTCCACCCACTGGCCCAACCAAGTACCGAACCATTCAACACGCAACACCAGCCGACAACCACCTTCCACCAGGCACACCCACACACAGAGGCACACACAGGGCTCCGTCTAGGCAATGACCTGACATGTTTCGCCAACCACTTCCGAACCAACGAAGAATTTAGATTGGAAGTCGTCATCACCAATAGGTACTTCCACACACTGCTCACAAGCTCCACCGAGACCCTGTCTTACCAAACCACACACGCCATAAAGGAAGTCCCACAGTGACTAACCTCATGCCACACATACGAGGCCTGCATGGGGCACGACTGGCCTGCACGCATATACAAAACAGCCCCACTTCTGCAGCAGATTCGCAAGACGACAGCAGCACACGACCCACACCACGACCAACGTCACACACTCACCTACACCAGCTGAAGCGACGACGACACCGCACTTACCATGCCCAGCACACCTTACGACAGGTGAGACACACACCCGACTACTCCAGTACCATCGCCAATACCAGCAGACACGAGTCAACCTCACTGCAGTGCCCACCGACCCACAACCAGACGGCAGCCTCGGAAGCAATTCTACCAAAAACACCACTTGCCAACACCAACATCAGGACGGTACCTAAGGCACGTCTCGTCAGGACCCCTATACATCCGCCGCCACTTGGCCTCAGGATCCCAATTGGTTGCCCACCACCTGGAGACGCCAGGGCACAACTATGGCTCCAAGAGATACCCACCAGAGAGTTAGCATCACAAACATACGCCGCCAGGCAAGCTTACTTCCCACCGAAAGCACTACCCAAAACGACTCGCTGACAGCATCAGGAGGCCAGCCTCTAGAGGCGACATCGACCACCTAGGTCGCACATTCGTCCACGAGATGAACGACCCACGCTTCCTCGAATACATCGCTACAGCACGACTGCATCAAGCACATGCCCAACAATACCTTACTAAAGTTCACCTTCGGAACCTACGCCACGGTATACCACACGAGCACCCACCTCCCCGAGTACCGGCGCCGCTTGTCTTCAAGGCCCCACCCACGCCGAAGCAAAATTAGGCCCATACAAGTGACATTGGTACTTATACGTAAGAGTAAATCGACACATGGAATACGATGCTGGTGCTGTCGCAGCGCTCCTACCTACAAGTAGATGGAGCGTGCAGTACATACAAGAAACTGCGGCATATTACAACGCTCGCGACAGCCATTGCGACAACACCGATTTCCGCAGCAGACCAATCGCTGACATCCTCCTCTCCCTACCAAAGTGCTTTTTCTTCCCGCCAACCTCACAAGGGCTACTCCTGCTGTTGTCTTCGTTTTTCCACTAACCCCCCTTTCTCTTTACCCCCTTTAAAGCCAGGATCGCCAGACCCGCCCACGCAGTTGCGTATGGACACCCCCTCCCCCCCCACCAGGGGCTGCACCCCACCTGCTGCTGAGGACAGCAGATGCCCTGTACATCGATTGGATGCATCAGGCATCTTGTCTCTTCCATTTCCGTGGCTCACCCCCCCTGCCCTCTCACCTCTCCCCTGTCGTTGCTGCCTGCAGCTGCGCTTCTTGTTTGCACATCTATGATTCGACTGCCTCTCAGCCACTGCTCAGCTGGAAACTTTTCCTACAGCGAGGGAAGAAGACCGCTTGCCTATACAAGGGTAGCGGCCCCTAGATTGCAGTATAGCTTCTTCGGGACAGCAGTCCAGTCATCTACCACCGCATTGCTAAGTCTTGTGGTGGAGGACCGCTTTGCCTAAGAAGGGCTGCAGCCCCAGGATTGCATTACATCTTTTGTGTGATGGAAACCCATCCGCGCATGCTTCACAACAACCGCCAGGCACCTTTAGCTTTCGCCGCATGTCTATTCGCATACGCCACACCTCCCGCGGAACCTCTGGCACTTTCTTTGTTAGGTGAAAATCACACTTACACTATGGATTTGGGACGGGATGTGTTGGGTGGGTGGCGTAGCTGGGTGGGTATAGGGATGACAATCTCTCTTGCTGCTTGCCGTGCCCCTAGGGCAGGGTGGGGCCCGCAGTTGCGTTGCAGGCCAGCCTATGCCAGGCCAGCCTTCACCATGCCCAGCTTGTTCAACCCCCCATTGTGCACGGCTCCTGTTCTCCTGCCTTACAGCCTCGTCGTTTACTTTGGCAGCTCCCTGACACATTCCAGATGTTTTAGGAGGGATGCTGAATGCGTCATACTTGCACAAAGGGGGCCAGCCCTAAAATAGCAATGGCTTTTATGCCAGCAACAACCTCTACCTGTTTCACTTTTCGGCTTCTACGTTCAACGCCTGTACCACACAGGCAGCCAGGCACTTCTTCTTGTATGGGGTGGAGGTGGGGGACCTACAGCATGAGTAGCTGTTAAGTCTTGGAGTCGATCAACTCTCTTAGCCTACTACCCCCTATCCCCAACGCGGTATGGGACACTCCGCCGCGCTGCAGGTACCTCAGGCCAGCCCTCACCATGCACAGCCTCTTTAACCTCATAGTGTGCCAGCTCCTGCTTCAATACCTCTTTGCTTCGTCACTTCTTTGTGGCAGCTTATCCGCCACACTTTGCCTGCAGTACCCCAGACCTGCGGGACACATTGGGAAAAGGCGGTGGAAGGAGGACGTTGGGTGGGTTTCGGGATGACGCTCAGTTTTTCTTGCGGGCCCCGCAGTTGCGTTTACAGGGTCGCCCATCCAGGCCAGCCAGCTATGCCCAGCCTCTTTAACCCCACATTGTGCACCGCTCCTGCGCTTTTGCCTATTAGCCTCGTCACTTGCCTTTGGGCTTTGGGAACTCATTGCCACGTTTGATTCATGCAGTTCTATAGTTGTGCCGGACATTTTAGGAGGGATGCTAAATGCGTCATACCCGCGCCAGGGTAGATGCCCTGAGGGTGCAATGTCGTAAGCCAGCCACACCGTCTACCTTCTCACTCTTTGTCCCTACTTTCAGCGCCTGCCCCACACTGACAGCCAGCCACTTCTTTTGGTATGGGGTGGAGGTAGGGGGCCTATGGCCAGGGGGCTTGACGGGTCCTGGGAATGATACACTCATAACTTACGGCCCCCCTGCCCCCAGGGCGGGGCGGGACCCACCGTTACGCTGCAGGCCCACCTACCCCAGGCCAGCCTTCACCATGCACAGTTGTTTGATTTCAATATGTGCGCAGCTCCTGTTTCAATACCACTGTGCTTCGCCACCTACCTTTAGCAGCTCAACTTCGACATTTTCCCTTGCAGCGCTTCACACATGCGAGATCACCTCTTACACCGTTTCTGGCGTTGTACTTCTTGTGCTTACCTGTCACCCATGCTCAGCCACGACAGCCTGTACCATTCAAGCTTCGGATAGGTGGGTGGGGGTGGTCGGGGGAGGGTATACTGAGGAATTTAGGCTGATCGCGCGCCACAGCTGGCGAGAGCCTACTCCCTTCAGCTCCATTGAGCCGGCTCTCTGTCTATTATTGTCGCCGCGGCGCCCGCCAGGTAGTTTTTTCCTACTTCTTCGCTGGATCAAAGCTCAGTTTTTTCTTCACACGAACACACCAGCCCCCAGGCTCATGCTGGTCTAACGTTATAAAAGAGGAGTAGAGGGAGGAGGAGGAGGAGGAGGAGGAGGAGGAGGAGGAGGAGGAGGAGGAGGAGGAGGAGGAGGAGGAGGATGAGTGTCGACAATCCAGGCCTATCGACGTTTGTTTTTTCTGAGAGATTGCGGGAGGCTCCGTCGCCATGGCTGGCTCCACCACGATATTTTTGCCAGAACGTGCGCTTGGAGCGGTCTTGGTGCTGGCTTTATTCGGGCAGATGAGGAAGAGTAGAGTGAGAGATGTTATCGTTGGCGGGGGCGGACGGTAAGGAGCAAAAAGGTTGGAAGGACGAGGGTGGGGAGGAAGGTATAGAAAAGCAGGAGGAAGAGCAGGAGGA